TATTAGGGCTTTAAGAGTAAAGGTTCATCTAGTAAAATTGTACAAGGAATTTTTTTGTTAGCTAATTTTTGAGAAATTAGCTTTAGGCCTAACCGGGCTTGGGCCTAATATAGAATAAAGCTCGCCCGGTTTGTTTAAGTAGGCTTTTTGGACCTGCGCTTTAATCGGTCCCATAAAGTTTTTTTTGGGCTTTGTTTCGGGTTTAGGAAAGCTCGACCCGACATGGTCTATTTCGCACTCTACTTCTGAAGCACTAATCAAAGATGATGCACTTTCTGAAACTTCCGAAATAGCAGAAGTTTGATACATATTTACAGGAAATGGTTCGTATGGTTGGTCATAAAGAGAACGTTGATGTGAAGCACCATTTACAGGAAATGGTTCGTATGGTTGGCCATAAAGAGAACGTTGATGTGAAGCACCATTTACAGGAAATGGTTCGTATGGTGGGCCATAAAAAGAACGTTGATGTGAAGCACCATTTACAGGAAATGGTTCGTATGGTGGGACATAAAAAGAACGTTGATGTGAAGCACCATTTGCAGGCAATAATGGATTATATGGTGGGCCATAAAAAGGTTGATGTGAAGCACCATTTGCAGGAAATGATGGATTATATTGTGGGATCAAAGATGATGCCCTTTCTGAAAATTTCGAAGAAGAAGAATTTTGATAAATGTTTGAAGATGTTGAACTACATGATGGGCTATTAAAAGAACGTTGATTTGAGTGCACCATATTAACTGATAATGCATGAGCTTCTCCACCATTTTCATAACTTCGTGAATTACTAACACGTGGTTTTATATATTTCAAATCTTCTACTAATGAAGTATAAATTTCTGAAGATTCATCTTGATGAGACTCTACTTCCTCTACCAAATCTTCAATAACTGTCTGAGCACTGTGATAATCACCTTGCTTAGCAAATTTATTTGCTTCAGAAATTACTTTTGTAGCACGATATCGATAATTTTGTTGAACTACTTGTGCATTGGCAGGATTGTTTGATGGACCGATTTGAGATGAAGAGTAATTTATTTTTAATGTTGCTGGTGCTCTAGAACAATTTATTCGAAGTCCTTTGTGAACATCAAAGTAGTTAATATCAGCTTCAATTGTAAGCTCATCTCTTTTAGTTTTCAAATTTGTAGTATTTTCTTCAAAGTTATCTTTATCCATTATTAAACCTCTATGATTTTCTTCAGATCCATCTATATTCGTAGTATTATATTCATTGTCTTGAATTTTGATTTTGAATAATAAATCTTTCTTTTCACCAGCATATATATTACGAATTTTAATCTGAGCACTAATCTCTTCATCACTTATATTATTTTCATATTCACAAAGTACTTCAGATATTTTAACATTTGAAATTGGTTTAGGAATTCGTAAAGTTAAATTTACATCATGACATAAAGTGCTTACAAGCCCACCAATACAACCTGCAAAACATTGGTTAATTTGTTCAAATTCATAAATATATGTAAAAAGTCCCTCTGTTTTTTCTGAAATAGTGTACAGCTTTGTTGCATCATGATCAGATCCATAACCAAAACTGTGAATAGAAATACTGCATAAAATTTTTTAACTTGTAAATATATTGATTGTTTCTTTTAAATCATTATCAAAAAAGAGAACAGCGGGAAAAATACATACTTTGCTTTGCAAGCTCTTTCATACAAATGCTCGTAAGACTGATTAAAATTATCTTTGCCATCAGAAAGTAAAATCATCCCCGGAATAGAATTTTCTGTTTTACTTTGCATTAAGATATCCATGCCTAAAAAATTTAGTAAAATTCAATGCGTAACTAATCGTAAATAGTCTGAAAATGTTTAACATTTTATTAAGCAGTGCTATTATAATCTGCAAAATTATCGTTGACTAAACTAATTGCATCATATGCAAATGATGAGTTTATAATTAAAAAATATTCAACCTACCAAGTTCAAGTCCCTTTCCGATATTGGTCCCACCGGATGTCACTAATTCTTGAATAGATTTATGAAAATTTCTTTTATTATTATCATCATTTACAAATAATAACGGTGTTATACATCTCGCAGAAGTATTAAAAGTAATCAAACATAATCGATTGTTTGGAGGAAGTTCATCCACAATAAAATTTAAGCTTTTTTTTAACAAGACCGATCTTATCTCCACACATCGAACCACTAACATCTAATACTAGAACTATATCGACATGTGAAGAAGCACATTTTACGTCTTCGGGAATGTAATCATTAGCTATAAGAGATGCCATACATAAAAGTTCTTGAGGCTTAGTATCTGAAACCATTTTAGTTTCTGAACTTAGATGTACTTTAAGAATTGGATCATTTGAATTTTGGTTCACATCAGCGATAATTTTGTTAAGCATTTCAGGTTTTTTATGGCCAAAAAATTCAACTGAATTATCAGAAATTGTTTCTCCAATTTGTTTAGTAGAATTTTCTTCCGACTTTATATCCAAATCATCATTCGCATGATTAATTTTCGTGGGTTCTTTTTCTGGCATAGCAGATCTTTGACGGCGATTGTCAGGAACATTAAAGTCTTTTGCTTCATATTTGATGTTTCCAAATTGGCTATTTTTTAGAGTTGAGCCACTGAATACAATTTCATCTGTTGGTTGAATCGGTTTTCTTATCAAAATCCCTTTTGTAATTTGTTGACTACATTCAGAATGTTCTTCAGTATCTAGGTTTACATCTGGATTAGCAATATAGTTTATGATATATTTAATAGATGCTTCTGTAGATAATTTCTTAAGTTCAGTTAAAATAGTATCCAGTGTTGGACGATGGGAAGGATCACGAGACCAGCATCTTTCATAAAGATTAGTGTAATTTGAAGGGGTATTAGGAATTATTTTCTCTCTTTTATTTCTTAAAATTTCCAGGATTATAGCTATAGAAGAAAGATTATTAAATGGGGGGATTCCACTTGTAAGTTCCCAGAACAAAACGCCTAAACTGTAAATGTCATATTTTTTTATCGACTTTTATATTTTTTCCATGATCTTCAAGGTATCGCGGCTCAATATATGCCGGCATTCCTGCTAAATTTGAGCTTAATGTCACAGAATCATTCAATTGCTTTGCAATCCCAAAATCGGCAATTAATGCTTTTCCATCATTCATCAGAACATTTTTCGAATGCTAGAAGAATTTGAAATTATTAAAAATGTGAATAGTTCGAAATAATTTGAAACTTAAGAATTATAAATTTAACATACCAGATCTCGATGAATTATATTGTTACTATGTAAATACATCAATCCATGAGAAATTTCAATTGCAATATTGATAAGTTTTGCCCATTTAATTTTACAACAACCTTTTTTTTTGCTTCTTTCTTAAAAAATCCCGCAAGTTTCCACCATTAGCAAATTGCAATATCATAATAAAATTTCCAGTCGATTCTAAAATATAATAGTTAAATTTGATTGAGTATTATTAAAACTTATTGTTTAAATGAATGTTTAACTTTATTACCTCTTGAAATTCCAAAAAATTTAACAATGTTAACATGGTCAATTTGGCTAAGAAATCCAAGCTACAAATAAAAGATTTTTAGTTCTTAGATAAAAGGTTGAATTTGAATAAAGACCTTATAAAAAAATTTAAAATCATATTCAGAATTTGTTCTGATTATTTTTTTTAAGAGATGAGCATTTTCCGTAACAAAATATATACGAAACCTTTAAATTTTCTGAATATTTCAAATTTCCTGAATATTTTTGAAACCTTGTTAATTTCCTGATTATTTTTGCCTAATAAAAATTATAATCAGGAAATTAACAAGGTTTCAAAAATATTCATAGATTTTTGTTACGGAAAATGCTCATCTTTTAAAAAAATAATCCGAGCAAATTCTGAATATGATTTTAAATTATTTTTATAGGGGAGAACCAATTTTATTACCTCTCGAATGAATTTTTTAAATGTTATATCATTAAAACACAGATTATTGTTAATACACTTTAATGCGTATTTGTTTTTACCTAAAGTAGCAGAATATACATTCGCTGTTGCTCCGCTGCCAACACTTTTGAAGTCATTGAATTTTGAATAATCAAAGTCTTTGATTTTAAATTCTTTCAAATATATTTCCAATTGTTCTGAATATTCAAGCACTAGTGTCATAAAAAGATATATTTTAATATGTTGTATGAACTAAGCTTTCATTTCACATAATGATAATACAATACATATTTTTTCTTTTTGCACAATATCGCCCGATTCATCCTCACTACTATTAGTATCACTTTCGGAATCATTTTTAGTATAATCTTTAGACTCTCTGCTCGCCTCCATGCTTAGTTAAAGGTAGTATTTTCTGAAAAGCTGTTATTTTAGCGGACTATAAAATCTTAACTGTCCGTATCGGAGGATAAGTGAGCAATAAAAAAATGTTGCGGATTCCGCTCAGACCAATCAACGGTTAAATATACAAAGTGTAACATTATGTGCATATGGCAGAAGTTTTTTAAATTACACGTAACGGTAACGGTAACGATAACGTTTAAAACATAATAAAATTACCCGCTGTCATAAGTCTCTTGTCTGTATTAAAGTATTTGATTAGTTAGTGAATTTTGTACGTGCAAATTGTCTATTGCCATTTGTACGCGCAAATATTTTTATGAAACCGATTAATATAGTAAATTCGTTATATAATGTGATGTTGATAGATGGGCGTGTTTAGTTATTCGACCTTTTCCACCTTTTCCATTGC